CTCCAGCCCACAATTCATAGTGACTCAAATATAGTAAGAAAAAACTTATTAAAAATTGTAATTTTTATGTGGACAGGTAGCCCAGTTCCTATAAAATTAGCCAAAAATCAGTATTTTGCAATGCAAGCAATCCAATTCACAAAATGAAAACTTCTATGTATACTATGATTGTTTTTACAGATTTTCTAGCCCTAAACAAAATTTTGTATGATTTATCTTATTTATTTAGCCTAAATTCAACTCACATTCAGCAATATACACTTAACTATGTTTACTCTATTTCAAATTATATAGTTTTCTTATAGAGTACTTTCCTAAAGCCTTTTTAAAAACAAATGAAAAGTTCCAATATAGGCAATGGGATTATTTTCCCCTTGGAAACTTTTGAAAGGAGGATTGGGGTATAATTTCGTATTAGATATGAAATAAGAAGCCATCATTTGGATATCAAACTTAACTCCTCATACATGCCAGACATGTGTTCTGTCTTGATGAGTGGTTTACAATAATTTCCAGAGGTACAACCCTTTATTCCTGGAAATTTAATATACAGAGTGGAAAGTTGAGTGATCCTGGGGGGTACCTTAGCTCTGATGCCAAACCCAGCACCCTCCTCTCTCTACTAGGCAACTCTGCAAAAACATATGGTTAAAATCCATGTTCTTAATAAGTCTTACCTCAGCAACCTATTAATTATAAGTTTTATTAGAGAGGCAAATGCCCATATAGAGGACTTGACATTTGCTAAAAGAAAATTAGATTACAGGTAAGTATGCACTAATGATGGAGAAAATACAAAATTTCATTACTGAAAATGTTTGGTCTTTAAAAAAAATTTTTATTGTAATACCATGATCTACAAATTTGTTCAAATACAGTTGTTTCAGGCATTAAATGCTCCAACATCAATCTCACCACTGTTTGTTTTTAATAGTTAATTTTAACTAATGTGATTTCAGAGCATTAAAAAAAACTTAAACATACCAGTATCTTTTCAAGTGATAAATACTGCTTTCACATATTAGAAATTTATTTTAAATCAGTAATAATATTCCCTTCAATTCTCCCTTTCTAATTTTCTCTTCTCTATGATAAACAGATGCAACTTCCTGAATCACTTTTATTAGTCACAAATCTCCCAGATAAATAAAGATAACAACATACTTAGAGAATTTTATGTGCTCTCCATAGAGTTAAAAAGCTTTGGTTGGATTGAGGCATTTAATCCTCTTAACATCCCTAAGAGCAAGAAATTTTATTAATTCCCATATCACAGATGAAGGAAATGAGTATGTTAGGAGATTAGGTGTTGAGCCAGGTTTCTATTTACCAGGGTGTATACTTAAAAATAAATATACACACAATCCAGTATTCAAAATTCAATATGTGAATTATACCAGCTGTTTGTATATTCCAAAATCCTTTGACCAAGTTAGCTCTTGACCTTCACTTCTCATATTCTTCTCACTAAGCACCGTTATAGGTTTTTGGATCCATCAATGCAATTATCCATATACACATGGCTAATCATTCATAGTAGAAATATGATATAATAATGAGCCAGTCTAACACTCATGGGGATTTCATTAAGCATCTCTAACCTAAACTGTAACATTTGCTGTTATATTATGCTCATAAAGTTCCACATATACTTGTTTGCTTTTTCTACTATTTTTTCCAGAGAGGCTTCCAAGAAATGCTCAGGAGATCTGGAGGTCCCTCTTTGTGCTTCTCAGCCAAGAGATTGGCAGTAGCCTTTAGTGCTATTACCTGTGCCACCTGGCAATGCTTAAGGAACTCTGAGGTCACATCTGTTGGAGCTCAGGGGCCTCTGGGTTGCATATGGCACCTTCTCTGATTTTTTTTAGTACCAGAAACCATTTGTGTTAATCCTTGACATTTCCTTACATCTCTACTATATGCTTGAGCCACAGAGATGAATACTCTAAGCATAAAGTTCATTACCTAATGAACATTCTAGTTCTATTTAAGATGACCGGAAAAGGAACTTACATAAATAATGCCTAAAGTACAGCTTGAAATTGTAATTTTTATGAAACCAAGCAGAGTCCCGGTAGCTGAAGACCTCCGGGACCCAGCGACAGCCATGCTAAGACCACTCTCCACATGCTCGGACGAGCCTCATGCATAAAGGAACCGGCAGAGAAACCCAGGTGTGCGGGACCCGGGGCCGATATCTCCAAGCCTGCTCTGTTCAGGACTGGGCCTCCTCCACACAGATTCCCCATCTTCCAGTAGCTAGACAGTTACACCCACCACTGCCGTGTAAACCCATCAATGGCCAAGATCCAGAGACTATAAAACCACGCTCCTGGAAAGCGTGCGGCCACATTTGCGGCCGCATGGCCTCTTATTGTCCAGTTCTCATTCTCAGAGAACCTGGCAGGCTACTGAGAGTGTTCAGTCTGCATATATGCCTGACTGGGAACACCTGTAAAGGTGCTGCCCCAAAAACCTTCATCCCTCTCTAAAAGCCCAGCAAGCTACTGAGAGTATCCCGCCCGTATGGCAGAGCCTGGCAAGCTACCCATGGTGTACTCAATATGCCAAAAACAGTAACAATGATGGTCCTCATTCCCCTGACCCTGAAAGAGCCCCCAATATGCCATCGGGCTACACTAGCACATGACAGAGACGAATGGAGATGTTACTGGTGCCCACTCGAGCAAATCGATGAACAGGATGCTAGTGATAGTGACAGTGATGAAACCTGAGATTTAAGTTTCCCCAAGGTAATTGAGGGTGGACTCTAAACTACAGTTGCTGTTATTATCTGTATAGTGATTTTTAACTCAAATGATACCCAAATTCATTAGCTCATTTTTTCATCATGTAACCTTGATCCTAAGTATCCATTTTACAAATGAAGAATCCAAAATTCAGAAAATTGAATGACACCCTTGGGCATTTAGAGGTAGACTTGAAGCTAAGGAATCATAGCATGTGAGATTCCAAGCTTTCTATTCCTTCACAGTATAATTATACTACCCTGTCAAATAAACTCCATGATGTGGTATAAAGTACAATCTGTAAAGCAAAAACATTAATAGCAGTGCCAAAATCAAAATAAAATACACAGAGAATTTATATGTAGCCAAATTTTGTGTATGTATATTTTTATTATAAATTTATGCACATAAATAAAATAATAAACATATAAATTGTATATACATTATACATACATATAAACTATACATACACATAAAATTGGCTTTTATGAGTTATTTTTTTCTTTTTTTTTCTTTTCTTTTAATTTTATTGAATCTCCATGAGATAGTTACAAGCTTTCATGTTAGGCTTACAATCACACAATGATCAAACACCCATCCCTCCACCAGTGTACATTCCCTGCCATCAATCTCTTCAGTATATCCCCCTTCCTCACTCTCCCACTGCCTCCATGGCAGACAATATTCCTCATATTCTCTCATATGAGTTATTTTTACTTGTTATTGGTTTCCAAGTAAATCTGTAATTCAAAATGTGTATCTCCTGATCAAAATATGTCACCTTAACCTGGACAGCTTATGCAAATAAATAAATGCTGATTTGACAAGCTGACACACTTGTAGTGTTCAGAAAGTGTTCATGGTGACTGTTTCCATCTATTCTGGTTAAGAGACAAAAGAAGAATAATTCTCTAGGCATCCCTATAGCTTTGGAACATCAGATGCTCCACTTAGTTTAACAGTTCTTGTCAGTTACAAGAGACACTGCTTCACCACCCCTGTTTTCATCAACTCTTCGCACAAGATAAGTGCAATAGAGTCTTCTTTTCTAGAAATATTCTAACGTTAGAATTAAAAAGCAAAAACAAACTTGCACACACCCCAAATGCACCCTATATTCTTGTTCATAGAACAAAAGAATACCAACTGTTTACATCATCCTAAAGCATTTTAAGTAATATTTTAATTTGTGGAAGTTGAAATATATTTCCTACAAACCAGCACTTACTGAAGTGCAACAATACTTTCTTTTAGATTTGTGTTTAAATTCCAGCCCGTGTGTTTAAATTATTATCCTTAATACTAGGATTTTTTCTTATGAGTATTCAAGTAAACAAAGCATACCTCATTTTATGTTTGTTTAATTAAAAACAAAGAATCTTTTGTATAAATATTCTTTACACTTCCCTTGCTTTCAGTCTTCTGCAACATCTGTTATGATTGTTCCTTAGGATAATTTACTAAATAAGATAAATTCAAAATATACTTACTTTACCATAAAAATTTAAAAGTACCTGCAGACCAGAGAGATAGTACAGCAGGCAAAGTGCTTGCCTTGAAATTGGCCAACCTGGGTTCAATCCCCAGCACCCAGTATAGCCCTGAAGCACCTCCAAGAGTGATCCCTAAGTACAAAACCAGGAGTAAGCCCAACCTGCCGCATTTGGCCCCAAAACAAAAAGAAAAAGAATACTTCAATAATGTAATATAAACTCCTTTCTTCATTCTCCCATTTCAATCCTCTAAAATAATGTCAATGAACAACCAAAACTTTCATTTTGTCAATTTCTTCTTTCTTAACCTGACAAATGATTTTCATAAAATAATTTTCATTAATAAATATTAAAATAGGTCACGTCATTACACTGAGAATAAAATAGAGACCATGACATTTCAAATTCATGAAATTTCAAATACATCCATACATATAGATTATACATACACATAAAATTGGCTTGTATTGTCTGATTAGTCTGCATTTACATTATAGTAATAAAAATAATCCCAAATAAGTATTTTTATTATCATGTACATTCATATCAAGAGCACAGAGGAAGCCAAAATAAACTTTGCAAGTATACTTCCACGTATGACACATAATTCCTCTGCTTAATGAGTAATTTATAACTTGTCAAGTAAAAACAGTTTCGCTTCTAAACAAGTTCCCTAATCAATTTCCATATAAACTTTAGAGATAAATTTACAGATCTGTCATTTATCATATCACCAGGTACTGCTTTCCACACTTACCAGGTATCTCTCAGAGGATACACTGACTAAAATGAGATCATCTCCAACTCGTACTTTTTCTCCTTCAGACCGTTGTTTAGAAGCTGGATGAATAGTCCACCAACAAGCCTCCCCTGAAATATCATTCACAAGTTCAAAAGAAATAACTTAGTTTCAAATGAGTTTCTTAAGAAATTGGACATAAAGAAGTCCAATTCTTATTATATTTTAATTTTTATTTAATTAATGTGATTTACAAAGTTATTGATAGTTGAATTTTGCCTAAAATTATATATTTTGAGATATATAATATTTCAACGCCAATTCCACTATCAGTATTAGCCTATTCCATTCCCTCCCACCACTCCCAAAAATCTATTTTCTTTGCCTAAAACTCCAAAACCAAAAAAAAAAAAGAAAGAAAATCAGTCATCTGAAATTGAAATTTCCCTATTCAAAAAAGTCCTTTCAGGAATCGGAAATTTAATGTGAATTAATCTCTAAAACCATAAAATTAGAAAAGAATAAGCTATGGTCTCTTAGAAGAAGATAATGCTGAAATGCAAGGATTTTTTCAAGGAAACTGGCTGCAACATTTGTAGAAACTTGTTGTTTATTTTCCCTTCTAAGGATACTTCCTTTTACCAGTGAATTAATCAATCAGAGTAATCTGATTTAATTCTATATACAATAACATTATTATATTGCTCATTTTACTCTTCTGAAGCAGTACAAAATGTTTTTGTCGATTTATTTTCAAAAGGAATTAGTGTTCTGTGATGTGCAAGCTATTACAATTTTTAAAACTCCGTACTTTGGGGAACTCTTATTCTTCAAAATGGGTACAAAACATTATCATCTAAACTTTACTACCCTGTGCTTCATTTTATTTGTTATTTTAAAATGTGGTCAAATGTACTAATCCCAGGGTACAATATAAGAAAATTCTTTCTTAAGGAAACATGAAATATTTGACTATCCAAAGAATGAAATACATTTTTGTTTTGTTTTCAATCCCCATGCAGCTGTGTTCAGAATTTATTCCTGGCTCTGCACTCAAGAATCATTCCTGGCGGGGCTTCAGAGACCATATGGGATACCAGGAATCCAAAGTGGATTAGTGGTGTGCATGGCAACTGCCTAGTCACTGTCACTGTACTATCTTTATGGCCCTTTCTCAAATAAATTTATCTAAGCTAAATCAAGCATAAAACTCATGAATCACAAATCAATTTTCCATTCTATAGTCATGATAACCCAAATATAAACTTAAGCATATACTTCTTTTTTATATACGATTTTCCAACACCTACATATTCCTCGGTATCCAAACTTAAAGATACCTTGTTACTGATATTTTCCTTTATAATTATAATTCTGTCCCTCTTCCAAATCTGACTTTTTTTTCATAATACTTAGTTTCTAATCTTTGTTGATACTTTAGTGCGAGACTATTACTGCCAAATAGTGGGACTTTTGTATGCTTCACTCATTTCAGTTTCCCTAGCTCCTGCTAGTTTATCAGATGTTGTCAGTAAAAGTTCATTTGTATATTTGAGTTAATGAATCATCAAACAAATAACATTTTAATCTGTCACTAAAACATTTATAAAGTAACTACTCTGTGTCAATCATTGGTAGCTGGGAATACATCAATAAACAAGAAAGAATTAACTCCTAAGTTTAATTCTGATCAAAGCAAGCACATACCAAGTAATAAACATAACAAATAATTCAGCAGTTCTGAAGAAAATAGAGGGTCAAGGGAAAAACTAAGTAATGTAAGAGACATAGAATATAGTTGCAAGGGATTGCTTTGTTTTGATGCTTTGATGATTACATAATAACCTCAATATAGAAAAACTACGCAAATCTTTTGCTTCTTTTGAAAAAACTGGAGATCTTTTCTAATATATTATATGAAGTCACTGTCACTGTCCTCCCATTGTTCATTGATTTGCTTGAATGGGCCCAGTAACGTCTCCATTGTGACACTTGTTACTGTGTTTGGCATATCGAATATATCACGGGTAGCTTGCCAGGCTTTGCCGTGCAGGCGAGACACTCTCGGTAGCTTAATGGGCTCTCTGAGAAGGGTGGAGGAATCGAACCTGGGTCAGCCGGGTAGGCTGCGTGTAAGGCAAACACCCTACCACCCTACCAGATGAAGTAAATCAATTCAAATTAACTAGCAAAAATACAGAGGAGTGATTGAGTGTATTTAAATGAAATACAAAGACTGGAGAAGTAGTATAGCAGTCAGGGTGCTTTCCTTACATGCCTGGACTTCAATCCCTGGAATTACATTTCGTTCCCCAAGCACTGTAAGGATGCCCACTAACAAAATCAAGATTAATTCCTAAGCATAGCCAAGCCACCCAAATAAAATGAAATAAAATCAGAATAACTGATTCATATTTTTGGTGCCTAGGAATCTTTCTATTTCTTGTATGAGGGAATGTGTTGATCTATCAATAAATAAAGTAGGTTGGTACAATTTTATCCATTAATTTTTAGAAAAATTAAAATATAAATTACTTTGAAAAGAGAGGCTTATCCAAATTCTGAAAAAACTGATTTCAAATGAGTAGAACTATCTTCTTTGTTATTTTTTAATTTAGTCTTTTACTTATCTTTAATGACAAATTAGGTATTATCTCTGAAAAGAATAAAATAATCAAATATGCAAAAACATATAAAGCATAAAATCATAGAAGTACTGAGAGCAACAGCACACAGACTGATTTCACTGATTTTGATTCTCTGATAGGAGAATATGGAAAACTATTTGTACATAAATTTTTGTTTCAAAAATATGCAAATACATGTCTGTACAGATAGAAGCATGATATATGAAGAATAACTATATTTTCTTTTTGTTGAAATTTTGAGATATCATTTCAGAATAGCACAATATCATTTCAGAATCAAAAATATCTTGAAAATGAAAGCAAAAGATAAGCAAAAACACTATATAAACTAATCAGTTCACATTAATTCAAAACATTTAATTAAATAACAGTGCAATTTAATTGCTCTTTTTCTATCTAAAATCATGAGTAAAATATAGTCTGGTTTGGACATACAGTTAATCTGTGGAAATAACTAGCCAAGAAATATAATATATACTTCCTCTTACTAAAAATTTCCCTAGGGGGCCAGAGATATAGTACAGCCTGCCGGGTTAGGCTTTGCATGCAGCTTAACAGGGTCTGATTTCCTGCATCCTATATTGTCCCCTAGAGACAACAGAGAGATTCCTGAGTGCAGAGCCAGGAGAAACTCCTGAGCATCATTCTATGTGGCCCCCAAAACTAAAATAAATAAAAAATAAAAACTTTCCTTATAAGGCATTTGCTTTTTCCTGTCTCCATCTGCAAAGAACTCATTCACATGACTGCCTCCATCCAATCCCTGCTATTCCTTCTGGGGCAGCTACACGGAAGGGCACTGTGCTTACCGGTTGTATCCTCTTGCAAGCCAACATCAAAAGCCAACTTATCTGTTGAAGATCGAGAAGTGGACAAACAGCATAGATACTGAAAGACATGAAATTGGTAGCTGTTACTCAACATTTACAGTGTCTTCCAAGTCTATACTGACATGTAGTTTGGTATCAGCATATTTGGAATCAGTATCTTCTGTACTAGTATTTTTCTTTATATCCTTTCAAATGCATCTGTGCATGAGCTTAGATTTCACTGGGAGGTAGAACAGCATTCAACAGCATTCAGTAGGAGCTATGTTCTAAAGGTAAGGCTTTTTCCCCTCATGAGGTGATGGAAATGTGTTCTGTCAGTGCCTGTACATCTTTTATATCACATTAAAGTTGTAATTATAAATAAATGCACAACCAGGCCAGATATAAATATTTCTCCCAGATGGAAATTTGAAAACTATTCACTTTTATCTTCTAGTTTTGATTGAACTTAAAAATATTTATCTCTGAGATTTTGGTGTGGACCCTGGTGCCTTGGTGAGTTGAGGCTTTATCCTATGTAAATGTATGTATCTGTTTTCCTATAAGTACCTGAATTCATAGAATCATTCTTCCCTTTTATTTATCTCTCTAAATTTTCCTCGCCAAATTTTAAAGACATTAGATTTAATATAATTATTCAACTGAACTTCCAGAGAATCATCATTTCCTTCTTTTTATCTCTAAGTACTTCATTTTATTACTAATTTTTAGTCATTAGGCTTAAGATAATTTTTCAGACCAAATTCCTAACCAGTACCACACTTCAAAAACCTTGTAAGAGCTCAGAGAATGAAGGCACCAAGATAAATATAGCATGAGCACAAAACTAACTACCATCTACCACATGTGCTACCAACAAGAACAGAAAACCTGAAGAGTACTGAGACAATTCAGGGAATTGCTCCAGACCCTCCAGAATTACTAATGAATGAAAATTCTAGGACTATGGGATAGCTCAGCATGGGTCTATGAGAGAAGGGAGAGTAACCAATCAAGGATAGATATGTTGGCAGAACTCCAGATATCCAGGGGAAAGGAAGTTATTATCACAGCAAGATGAGATCAAATTGATCTAGAAACTGATTTTGTTTCTTGATTGCAAACCACTTGCTCCAATGGATACAGAAAAGATGCTTTGAGGTCCTCATGTTCCTAACAAGTTGGGTTGGGGGAGGGAAGGGCAGGTAAGACTGACCAAAAAATCTATAACCTACTGGGAGTCCTTATGGTTTATACTACCATATAAATGTGTTTAGTCTGCCTTTATTTGATAAAAGGTAACAAATTTACAAGATTATCAAATTTTTTCCCAGGCAAAATTATAAAGTGCTTTCTACAAAAGTTTTTAGTAAGATTTCTCAATAGCATAACACTAGGCACCAGGACTATTAACACTCATTCTCTGCTTCTTTAATGTTCACAGAAAATAGTATAATTATTCCACTAATTGTCAATTAAGCTCCATAAAGCAGGACTTAGTCTTAATTACAACTATATCCAGCACTTAGGGTAATGCCTAAGTTACCAAGGGTGCTAAATGTATACTGACTGGATTCATGAAGCTTTCTAATGTGATTACAGGTTTAAAGAGATTCAACAAGGTAATAAGACTATAAAGCATGAGGCAGCGAGACCTGTATTTCAATCTTCTAAAATCCTCCAAACAACTCCAGGGTTTAACCCAGCTCACTAATTAGAGAAGGGTACTTCTTAAAATAGACTCTCCATTTCTTATTCCATACAGTTTAAAATTCTTTGTGTCAAGTTTCAATGTGTGATTGCCATATTCATTATATATATATGTATATCTGTATGTATATATGTATGCATATGTATTACTGTATCACTGTCACCCCATTGTTCATCTATTTACTCAAGTGGGCGCCAGTAACATCTCCATTCCTCCCAGCCCCGAAATTTTAGCTTACTCTCCCTACTCATCTTTCCCAACAATTGTGGAATGAGACCTGTTATCGTTACTGTTCTTGGCATATTGAATATGCGAAGGGGAGCCTGCCAAGCTCTGCCCGTGCAGGTGGGATGTTCTTGGTAGCTTGCCTGGCTCTCTGAGAGGCATATATATACATATATATATATATATTGTTGTTTTGTTGTTGTTGTTGTTGCCTACTATCTGAACCCATCAAATATGGTGTGGTAGTATGTATATATATATATTTACCAATTATAAAAAACATTTTTATTTCATCTATAGCATTGTCAGTTAAGATTTCCAGAATGAAGTTAATATATTTTTCATTTTATTTGTTTGTTTAAATTAGTTTACCCTAGAGCAGAGCAATAGTACAGAAGATTGGATGCTTGTCTTGCATTCAGCCTATCTAGGTTTAATCCCAGACTATACAGTACCCTAAGTTTAACCAGGAGTGATCTCTGAGCTCAGAGGCAGAACTAAGCCCTGAGCACTGTCCCCATGTGCTGCCAAGAACAAAGAAAAAAATAACAATACAATAAATTAGTTTTTCAAGAATTGCTGGTGTTCATCATTACTTTTTCTATTAAGAATTTTATTTTTTTCTATTAAGAATTTTGAAGACATTAGTTTTTTAAGATGAGAGTTTATTTTAAAAAATAACTTTCAGTTCAAGATTCTCTAAGTCAATTTATGTATATGATAAAGCCCATAAATCAAAATGCTATTAAGTTATCAGTAAAATTGATCAACATTTTCTCTATACTCTCATCTTATACTTTTGAACTCTGTTGTGATAGAAAATGAGGACTCTATGCATGAGAGAAGTTTATTGCACAATATAAATTAGTGGGTGAAAGAAGAAATGAATGTGGAAAAAAATAAATAAAACATTTACTTCAAAAAGTTGGGGACTGACTATAAGGCACAAAAGTAGATTTAATTCTCCCTTATACTAAATAAACTTGTTTTTGTTAATAATCTAACTTTACTTTCAATGAATGATCTATCTATAAAAGTAGAAATGAAAACTATTTCTTGACTCTCATGCTTCTCTTTCCCTTAAAAGATATTAAAAGGGAGATATTTAAAAAAGGAATCATATAATGATAGAATTTAAGGACCTTACAGATCATGTAAAGTAACGCTCACATGTTAAGTGAGAAAACTGAACAAAGTACAAAGATACTAATGTGAGGCTAGATAGTAAGTATAGTGGTTAGGGCTTTGTCTTGCACAGGGCAGACCGGCTGTTCTTTGGAAACCCATATTATTACTCAAGCATCACCAGGAGCAATTCCTGAATGTAGAGCCAGGAGTAGCGCCTGGGCATCACTCGGTGTGGCCCCAAAACCCCCCTGCCCCCCAGTAAAAGTAATAACAAACAATTCATCCAAGATCACTGATACCATCTTAAAAATGTTATGATCAAAATTTCCTGACTATATATGCCCAAATGAATCTGGAGGCCCACAGAGAGGTGAAAGAAATGTGTACTTACCATGCCACTGTAGGAATGACGTAGCAATATGGCATGTCCATAGAGGAGTGTTCGATGACCACTACCCTGAGCCGTCTGAAGAGGAGAGAGGGGCAAGAAGAGAAAATTTCAAGTGAGTCAATGTAGCACCGTCACTTCAATATGATGCATTCAAGTTCTCACAGAAAAGTATAATGGGAAATGATAAAGTAAGAGTTACTGCATATAAGCACAGTGGTGTGGATAAATAGTTTAAACTGGAAGAAAACTCTCAAGGAAACCTCTGCCATGGAGCTAGCAGTCCATCAACGTCTTCAAGAATAGACAGGATTAGTAAATATCATCATGCATCATTTCTTTACCGTGTTTTGTTTTTGTTTTATTTGGGGCCACACCTGGCAGCATTTCAAGGGTGTTTCTGGCTCTGTGCTCTGAAGTGACACCTGGTGGTGTTCAGGGGATTTGAACCAGGGTCAGAGGGATGTAAGGCAGCAAGGCATTCCTATAATCTTTCCCTGGTCCATCTTTTCTTTATGGTTATTTTCCATTATTTGTGGTATGCATTACACAGGGACTATTAATCTCTTATCACTGTATCACTATTATCACTGGCATCCCGTTGTTCATCGATTTACTCGTCTGGGCATGGGTAACATCTCCATTCGTCCCAGCCCTGAGATTTTAGCGGCCTCTCCTTACTTGTCTTTCCCAACTCTGCCGTACTGGAGGCTCTTTCAGGGTCAGGGGAATGAGTTCCGTTATTGTTACTGTTTTTGGCATATAGAATACGTCACGGGTAGCTTGCCAGGCTCTTTTGTGGATCACTACTATTTATCAGGTTTTTAGCAAAACTTCTGGCACATTGTAAGGACTAAGTAAATATCTGCTCAGTGAATGAGTTTTTCTAAAACACAAAATTGGTTTAATCAGTACAAAGCCTGAAAAATTTTTCATAGCTTTTGTTTATAAAAATATTCCAATTTCCTTTATATGAAATAAAGGATTTTCTCAAGTTGTAGAAAACTTCCTATTAAATCCCACATAAATAACTTAATAAATAATCAAAAAACATTTATTGAAAAAAAATTGGAGGATCCCAATGAAGGATAGGTGAAAAATATGAGTAAAGGCCTCAAGACAAATAATCATGAGGAATATAAGAAAGTAAAGGAATCATGAAATTGTAGTACTGGGTCACAGAAAGAAGAAGAACTATAGAATTTGGTAAGGTAAGATAACGGACGATTAAGGAAGTAGTGTCAAGAAATTTTTTTCCTGTATGAAAAGATCTTCTAAGGACTTAAAGATGCAAATGATGATGCCAAAGTAATATGCATTAAAAAGTGCAGAAGCACTCTGAGAGCCAATACTATTGTACCTTTTTAGTTAAAACATATCTGCTATTTTTCCATAGAATTTCTTTAAGTAATGTATTTGTCTGTTTTAAAACTCTCAGAGTAGCTCCTAAAAATGATATTAAAAGACTAAAATTATAAGAAAATCTGGTTTTAGCTAAAAGGAAAATCACTTTTTTACATATTGAAAGGTAAAACATGTTTTGCAACTTCATATCTGTCCACAGAATAAGATATTTTGAGAGTAGCTCTATTTTCTGTAATACATTTGATTTGTTGTGGCCAACGTCATTTAACTTGTTATCACTTTTATAGGATCCTTTCTTCTAGTATCATATATAACCTCCAAAGCTATAAACCAACTGAAAAATTCTTTCTTTGGCGTCTTGGTTTTTGTTTTGGGATTATACCCAGCAGTACTCAGGTCACTCCTCGCTCTGCACTCAGGAATCACTTCTGGCAGTCTCAGGGAACCACATGGAGTGCAGGGGATAGAATATTGGTGGTCACATGCAAGGAAAGTGCCCTACCCACTGTACTATAGCTCTGTCCCCCAGTATTCCTTTCTTTTTTTTTTTTTGGCCACATGTGTTACTCCTGGCTCTGCACTCAGGAACTACTCCTTACGATGCTTAAGGAAAATATGAGATGCTGGTGGGTCGAACCCAGGTTGGCTACATGCAAGTGTACTACCAGCTATACTACTGCTCTTGCACCATGTATTTTATTCTTGACAGTCAAACCAACGAGATTTTTCTTTTGGCATTTTATATACTAAACTGCCCAAATTGGCTTTGATTCAGACAAAACAAAACATATGATTTACCACTCTCATGTAGGTTGAATAACTTGTTCATGTAGGAAATATTTATCCAAAGAACTATATTTAAGGGAGTCAGTCAAAGGAATATCTTGATTCTTTCTGTGTTCTTAAAATTTGGTTAATTCTGGAGCGGGAGCAATGGTACACTGAACAGAGTATTCCTTGTATATGGTTATCCTGGGTTCAACCTCAGGCATCCTGTATGGTCCTCTGAGTACTACTAGGAGGGATTGCTAAGTGCAGAGCCAGGAGTGTTCATTAGCGCACCAAGTGTAGTCCAAAGCACTGTGCATGTGTGTGTGTGTGTGTGTGTGTGTGTGTGTGTGTGTGAGAGAGAGAGAGAGAGAGAGAGAGAGAGAGAGAGTATAAAATTTGGTTGATTTTATCAACTCCATCAACTTTGTTATAAGAGATATTCATATCCTCTTTTTTTTTTCAGTTTTGGGTCCACACTGAGCAGTGCTAAGGGATTACTCCTAGCTCTGTGCTCAGAGATCACTTCTGGAAGGGTTTGAGGGACCATGTGGGATATACGGGATCAAACCTGGTTGGCCGCATGCAAGGCAGTTTCCTATCCACTGTTCTATAGCTCCAGGTCCCCCTTTTCCTATTCCTTGCATCCATTTAAGTGAACAAATACTGATGAGCTTCCTCTGATATAGAGAACTCTGGTCCTTCATAAAATCATCTTTAGAGTTATTTCTAGGCAGTTCACTGTCTAAGTGAACTATGGGAATCCACAGAATAATTCAAAGAGAAAAACATCCCTAATGCTGGATGATGAATGATAAGCAGTGGTAATCAGGACTGATGGCCCATTTTCCTTCAAGCAACCCAGATCAAAACCTGTAAGTACAACCTGGCACAACCATATCATTTCTGAAATCCAGCCAGGAACAACTAGATCAGAATCAATCAAATTATAGCACAGCGAGTTCAAAGTTGGCCTGCTTTCTAGATCATACTTGAAAAGCAGAATTTTTGTGTTCCTGACATTAAAATTTTAACTACTTCATGGAACATAAAGTATACAAAAAGTAAACAAAGCTTTCAACGAAACCAGTAAAAGAAGAATGAAAAACATAAATTTTATATAAAAAGAAGTCTTAGACTATGAATAACTTTGTAATTTATTAGTTAATAAAAGAAAATTTTGAAAAAAATAAGTCATCTATACTTTAGTCTTGCCAATTTCCTGGTAAATATTAAAGAAAGGAACACTTTTTCCTATGCACTCAAAATTTCTCAGGAAACACAGTACCTGATGCCAAGGGTACTAAACTCACTCCACTCAGTCTATCACTCTCTTGACAATCTGCACTGAAATATAATGATTCATTCAATAATTTTCATACTGAATCCCAAACAATTTCCTTCAAAATCTTACACACCAACAGCAAAGAAAGTGCAACTTCCAGAACAAATTATTTTTTTGTGCTTTTGTTTGGTTTGTTGTATATTTGGCCACACTGAATAAAAACCCTCACAGTGCTCAGGGGCTACTCAGGGCTCTGCACTCAGGGATCACTTCAGGTGGAGCTCAGAAACCACACAGGGTGCCTGGGTTCAAATCCATATGGGCCACTTTCAAGGTGGGTCCCTACCTGCTGTACCGTAACTCTGCCCCAAATTGTTAATTTTTCTCTTAACATTTCCAACTATATAATAGATTATCACATCTTTTTTTGGAGGAGGGGGGTGTCACCAATGATGCTCAGGTCCTTTGGTCACCACCAGCAATACTCAGCCAGGTAGTGCCACCCGATGCAGTGCCTAACAATGTCGAGCTACCATTGCCTGACAGCACGCCCCTAGCAGTGTTGAGGGATAAGGAAGGGTAGAACTCGGAGCCTTACGTGTGCCCTTCTCTTTAAATAAAAATATTTCCTGAAACTACATATTCTTAAAGTAAGGTGTCAATTCTGATTAAGGCTACATCAGTTCCTGAAATCTCAACCACCCTCAGAAGTCAACAATCCCTTATGGTGCCTCTGTAGCACCAGGATTCTGAACTCACCAGTGCTGGGCTACCGTTTTTACCTATAAATGATGGGGGTTTACATTTAGGTACTATGAGGTAAAAACAAACAAACAAAAACCCAAAAGCTAATTACTGACTACTTCTAAACTTTTCCCTCTAAATTGTCCTGTGTTGAGGAGTAAAGAATCACTCATAAGGGCCAGAGAGGCAGAGGGCAGGACACATGCCTTGCATGCAGCTGATCCAGGTTATTTCCCTACACCAATTTGGTCCCAGGGGCAACACCAGGAGTGATACCTGAATGCAGACCCAGGAATATTCCCTGTGTACTAACGAGTGTGCCATTCCCCCCAAAAGAATCACTTGCAAAAAGTAGAATTTGAATTTACAAAACTAAGAGTTTAAAGTTCTTCAGTCCTGTGCCTGGGTTTGGTTCTATTACCAAAGAGAGGGCCAATAGGCTTAATGCTACACAGTAAATAAATAAATCAAACTCATACATAAAAATGTTCTGAGTGCATGCAACCAACATCAAAAAACATAGCTCTATGTATTCTAAATAAACCTTACCTCAATCTTTATACAATCTATTTTGGTACAAATTTAGCATTAGGCATTTTGAGACTTCACCCTTTCCAGAATCTTGAGGAAAATTATCCAAGTAGGGGACCCTATGTAAGCAAAATCATTAATGCAAATGCTACTATATTTATATTTTTAGAATAGTATGTGGCCATAAGACTTTATTTATCTATCTTCCTTCTCTGTGGGAATGGAAACAAATTGGATCACTGTGAATACCCCTGAGATATAACTATTCTAAGTGAAAAAGAAAAATATATATAATACACAAAGAAGTGATGACTATGATCAAATAAAGTGGCTTTTACATAATAAAATCACTAGCTTTGTGTTTCATATTTTTAGTGTTTTCTTGGAGAGGCAGGTCTATTTTTATATATATAATTGTCTCACATATTTAATGAAAATTTCTATTATTTCTGTTTAAAATCATTTAATTTACCTGTTACACAGCAGTTAAGTATCTTACAAAATTCTAGATTGTAATCAGTTATGTACAAAAATGCTATTTATTCAATTTAGGATTTTTTTGTACTCCAGGTCCTTATTAAGCATGAGTTTCTAAATTAATAAAATCAGACTCTATGTGACAACCGTTTAAAATCTTAGACTTCCATAACATAACATATTACTTTTGGTTTGGTTTGGTTTGGTTTGGTTTGGTTTGGTTTGGTTTGGGGACCACACCCACCGGTGCTCAAGGTTTATTCCTGGCCCTGTGCTCAGGAATCAGATTTCGGGGCTGAGAATGATTTAGAGTCACAAAGTGAACAGCACCAAATTGACTAGAATGATTTAGAATCACAAGGTGAAAGACACAAGATTGACTAGCACAGAACTATTTTCATTTCTGGAGTCTGGCATTTTAGCCACCCTGAGGCTCGCTCACAGCAGAAAATACTCAAGCAGCAATGCCATCTTTAATGGCTTGTGACACAACAGATTCAGAGGATGATAACAGTGAGGAACGAGAGTTCTGTCTTCAAGTAAAACAAACGTGCCTGACACAGTCAGTAGAATTCTATGAAGGCAGGCACTTGGCATCTGATGGCCTTCTTGTGGTTCTGAAGCCAAAGTCTCCAGGGAGAACATATCAAGTTGGAACTGGATAATGTGTCCTAATCATTTAGTGCCAGAAGAAAAAAATGGGATCCTGTGACGAAGAAACACCTGTCTGGTTCTAGGAGGTTAAATAATACTTATAAGGCAATGACAGCCAAAGAAGACATAATTGAAAGGTAAGAGCCGAATAAAATGCACTGCTCTTTTCTTTTTCAGAAGCTTAATATAACTATAATTAAATACACAAGCCCTCCATTTAATCTATTTCTAAGTCTTCCAGATCATCTAAGAAAGATAGGAAAATAAGCCGTTGAGCCTTTATCAAGAAATCAGAGACTTGTTCAAGTATTTTAAGTATATCAAGTATTTTGGGTACATATTAAGAGAGAGACAGTTGAATTGATAGGGCATAGAGCCTGAGAGATAGTCAGGGGACAAGGTGCTTGCTTGCACTTGGCCAAACCTTATTCAATCCCTGAAACCACGTATGTTGATCACCAGTAATGATCCCTAAGCACAGAGACAGGAGTAAACTCTGAGCACCACAAGGTGTGGCTGAGAAAACAACAAACAAATTAACTGCTTAAAAAATAATACAAATATTATAATAATATAGTAATAAGCAATACAGGTTTGGAGTGGGTGAGATGATAAAATTCAGATTTAACAAAAAAAAAATGTTTCAAATGTAATTTTCTTACTTTGCTGATTATTTTCCAAGAAAGAACATAATTACATTTTGATGCTATTTCTAGCATCTGAAACAAGATCCTTGTTCGATATTGTCTAATTTACCAGTTGATACCATCACTTTCAAAAATACTAATATTTTACTGAAAAAATAATATCTGGTTTTTAGAATGTGTAATGCCCTTGTTGATAAAGGACTTCAAAGAAGTACTCAAATCTGTCTTCCTATCCACACTTTCAAATTCTCAAAGTTAATGACCAGGGGCCGAAGTGATAGTACATCAGGTAGGGCTTTAGCCTTGCATACGACCAACCCGGGTTTGATCCCCAGAATCCCATACGGTCCCCAAAGCACCGCCAGGAGTAATTCCTGAGTGCAGAGTCAGGAGTAACCCCTGTGCATTACCGGGTGTGACCCAAAATTTAAAAAATTAAAACAGTTGTCAGTAGCTACCACATGTCTGGTCTAATTTATACAACAGGAATCTTAGACTTAGCTAAGTAACTGAATAGGCAGAAGGGTAAACTTTGTATGCTTTCTCTTGTGAGTAACTAAAAAGCTACATTTAACTTTGAGGTGTTACACTTGATTTAAATTTTTAAAATTAAATCCTTTTGGGAACAAGGAATTTGGCCCACACCTTTAGGTATTCAGGGCTTTCTCCTGGTCCTGTCTTCAGGGGTCACTGCTGGGGGACCATTTGCTAGTGGCAGGGGTTAAACCAGTGTTTGACATTTGCAAGGCCTTAACTTCTGTACTACCTCCTCCAGTCTTGTAGTTAAACTTTTTAAAATACATTTAAAGCATAATATGTTTATGTATACACTGTTTCTCAACTTTCAGTACAAAAAAACTAAAAATTTTCAGTGAAGTACGATAAAAGTGGTACCATCTAAAAATGAAAGAAAATAGCTGGATGGCATGTCCCAAAATAATGACATTCTATACTTCCTTTTCTTTCCACTCATATTTCCTTCAATGACAAGATGATGCATTTTACTTTTCCTTTTAGGTTATTTCCTTTTAAAACCTGTCCATTTTGTGATTTTGTTACGATTCAAAGCAATTCCTTTATGTCTCTTGTGATTTTCAAGTTTGTGAATTCCTATTAATCCATTAATGCAAACATGATTAAACACAAAAAGCATATATAAGCCCAACATCAAAAAGTCTAAATGAATAAAGTTTTCTGTAATTTTTCTCTAAAAAGTATTAGACTTTAGGCAATACAGTTACAATAGTGCTGTTATTTATGGTTCTGACTAAGTTATTGCATCTTTACCACAACTGTTTTTTCTATTCTGCCTCTCCTTTGCCCCTTTTTCAGTGTATCCCCATGGCAGGTCAGTGTTTGGAATCTGTTTTATAATGAAAGACCAAAGGAAATTTTTTTATGAGAGAAATTCCTTATATTGATTAAAAAAAGTTATAAGATAAACCACAGATGTCAAATGTAACCTATTCAATTTTTAAAATGTTTGCTTAAAGTTTGGGTCATTTTAAAAACTTAAAAATAACAGATTCTAAAATAAAATCTGCTAATAAATTTAAAACATTGAAATATTATATATAGAGGATCTGGTGGCTCACCTTCATCATGAATTTCTGTAGGGGCAAAAGAAAAAGAGAAGATATTAAATACATATAATTTCAAATATTTCTTTAAAAATATCTTTTATTTATAATGCCCCCATTGTCAAAAATGGAGTTATGTGAATGATAAACATAAAAAAGCAGACATCCACTGTGTTGTCACAATAAAACTAAGTGTCAACTACATGCTAGAAAGAAGCTGTAGCAAGCAAAACTCTTTCAAAAAAGTTTTTACATTGCTTCATTACTGTGAAAACATGCTGTTCTACTTTAATGCGTGATTCAATTCATAACATAGCTATATACAAAACCCCACAAAAGTATCACACTAAAATTATGCTAGATAGTTAAGTTTGTTTCACTTTTTCTTAAAAATGAATATAAACAGTGACACAATTTAAAAATAAAAAGAGAGGATTATAAATGGCACTATAGTTTGTTAACTAAAAACTATGATGAGCTATTCATATTTCATGCAAAATAATAAGTAATCCTCTAAACACCTTATATTGTGATATGCAATAATCAAAGTAAAATATTATTTTAAAGGAAAAATGGTAATCTCTTATGATTTATGCTATAAATTTTCTACAAAAATATTTATGATATTTCTTTTCTTTAGACCCATAAAGTTTGACTTCTTATTCATAGGAGAGGTACACAGATGAAAAAAGAGCTAATAAGAAGGAAAAATGACAATTTATTTCCAAACCTAGGGCTAAATTTAGTTGTCAGGAGCATGTAAATCCTACAGAGAAAAGATAAACATCCACATTAATGTTAAATAAAATGAAAGTTTTCTAACTGAAATTTGTAAATACAACATCTGCTTTCCTAAATTATAACTCTATAATAATATGTATATTGTAAAGGGAGAATTAAAGTGTTTAACTTATATTTTCACTTTATGAGAAAATCATAAAGAAGAGATTTATTCTCAACTTAGAGAATGAAACTGGTTACATTTTGTTAAATGATTTCATTGTAAATGTTAATACAAAACTTATTTTTATATTGAAACTTACCAGCAATATATCTATATTTGAGGAGTAGTAATAATATTTTCCAAATGAGGAATTAAGAAAAATAAATTTTGAATCTTAATTGAAAAATACTTTGGGGTACAGTTTTATAATGGTGGATAATATGCTTTTATTATTAATTTGATTCATCTAGATATTGGAGCTTTTTCTTTCAGGAACGTTTTCCTTCTGATTATCAGTTATCAACACTGACTGCTTCAGAATTACAGTGAACAGAAAAAAGGAGTTGTCAGTACTGTAACTATGATCTTTGATTCGTAAGTTTTGTCTTGTATGATTGTAGGAAAAGCAAGTTACAGAGGACAGTGATTTACATATAATAAAATAAAGTGAAGACTGCAAGTTAGTCAAGGCTTCAATAACTATTCATGATATAAGAAAGGATAGCAGATAAATTGATAAACATTATATATTCAAAAGGTGAATGAGTAAAGTTTATTTGTTGTACTATTGACATCAAAAGTTTATATGAATCTTTCATTTATCAACTTGACTGTTTCAGGAAAGGTGGGAATTGGGCCACACCATATGGTGATCAGAAGTTACTCTCAGCTTCTGCTCAGAGCAGCTCCTAGCAGTGATCTGGTATCAATGCAGTACTGGCGATCTAACCCAGGGCTCCAGCATGCAAAGCATACACTCTGGCCCATTGAGCGTTTCTCCCTCTCACCCAATCAATTTATATGAAGTGCTCAGCATCACCAGTTACAAACTGTGAGAGAGTCAAAAGAAAATCAAGGGCAAAGAAAACAAAAAATAAAACAAAAGTGATATATTCAAATGTATGTATGAGTGTGTAGTTAGAAACTTGGGAAATAATACAAGGATTTGATCCCCAACATCAATTAGTCCCCGGGCATCACCAGTAGAGCCCTGGAGGCTTTGAGCACTATCCATAGGCCCTGGCAGAGAACCAACTGCCTGGTTGATGAGAGTAGCCTCTGGGCTCCTGGACAACACACAGGACCCTCTCCCCCAAAATGTAGAAAATATATTCACTTAATGCAATGTAAATACTGTTGAGATATGATTAAAAATCAACCAAAAAAAGTAATCCCAATAAAGTTGATAACATGATACTAGAGAAGAAGAAGCAGACATAAATAAGTATTAAAGAAAACAGTATGAATTTTGGTATGAAAGAATACTCATTTAGTGATAGTGATAAGTTTACTAAAGGAATTCATTGTTGGATTTGTTTTACTCATAAACGTTTCTTTATATCAAACCTAAAACTTCATTATGAAAAGTATAGAAATGAATGGCTATAAAGACAATTATATTCTACGCACTAGTATGGATTCTTCTGTTTTTTAGAAAAAATGGCTGAATATCAATTTACATACAAATATGAAAGGAGAAGTTTTGACTCTTCAGGGTAAATATGTACAATTCACTAATCCAATATCCTAACCTTGGTTTAATTGTTTAAGAAATGATAAACCAGATGAAACTTCAAGTGTAAATTACAGTTGGGGTATAACTTACCTCCAGCAATCCTCATAACATAATAAACAGAAAGAGAAATAGCAATTTTTATGTTTTAGATAAGCCTGGATTCAAATGAATGGCAAAAACAACATAGCACCACACTCTTTGATCTATAAACATATGTCACTAACACAGCAGAACTGAAAGACCTAAAAGTCTTTCTTACCATAATATAATGACTATGAGTAAAATATATAAGTCAAAATCAATATATTATACCAAAATTATAATTAAATATAAAGAAAATGTATTATTATGTTCAAGTTGTTACTGGTACAAAGAAAGAAACCAATTTAGGTGATGTGAAAAGGCTTTTCCACCATAATTATATCATTCAATTAAACCCTGAATTCGTTTTACTGTCATTTCAGTTTCATAAAATAATAAGTGATTGAAAGATTAAATGTCTATTAATGAATATATATTGTAAGATTTAAAAGACTTTAACTTAAATGTCATCTCAGAAAATACTATAAGAAAACAGCAACAAAATAAACAGTGGTACTTGTTATTGGAACTGTGTAGGAAACTGAACAATCTGAAAGAGGAGGGAAATTTCTAACATGAAGTGTCCATTAAAAAAGGATAAGATGTCCTACTCTGACACTGTATCTCCATAAAATTAGGTCTCTCCGTCATCTTTCTCTCTATGTATCAAGATGATGGGACTATACATAATCCTTTAGTTAGTAGCCTCTCTCTTGCAAATTTGAATGCAGTTAGAAACCTTATTATATAAAGAAAAGGGAAAATTATTTTGTCACCCAAGACTTGGGTTTGTTAGTAGCTAGTTTATATTAAGGGTGTTCTCAAATAATTTTAGACGAAAAAAGAAATATAAGTTAGTAGTTCCAATTTCAAACATATATTTAATATAATTTATATCCAACATACCCAACTCCAAACATATTGATTTATATATCAATATATACCAGATATTCTATGCAATAGTGTATGCAGCTATATATTTGTGGAAATTCTCAACTATTTCTCCTGTGATGAAAGTATCCAATGCAAATTTTTAGCTTTCTAGCATTCCCCATATATTTATGGACATGGTTATTTTAGGCCAAGATAACATTTTAAAAGCACATGATGATATCGTCTATGTAGTCTCTTACATTAAAATCATCACTGGAATTAAGTTATAAGTGCATACTGGGTCTGATTTTTAAGAATTCACTGATCTTGGCAGTAAACTTGGAAAAGCTATTGACTTTTTCAACTCACCATAACACTGTATAAATAATGTAAAAGTAAATTTTTTTACTGCAATGGAATTGATATACCTGTGTCTATAAAATAATCAAACTTTTTTCAAAGGGTACAAAGAGTAAGTGATGCTAACAAGCTACAAATATCACATTTTTGTGTCTATGGCATGTGATTATAAATCACTGTGATACATGATGCTTAAAATATAAAGTAGGACTATCTCGGGATTACTTTATTTTCCAGATTGCCTCAAGATCTTTTGCAATATCAAAAACATAAAATTTATTTGTATAAAGACTATAGGGCAAGGGCATATAAACCCTGCCCTGTATCAAAATCAGAAACTACAAAAATAATATTAAGTTATAGATTTTTTCAAATATAAGTGGACTTTGATAATATAAAAGCATTTCACAGACCATTACACAACAATTACATATGAAATGCATTACTTCTTAAAACTAATATTGAATGGGAGCTTTTACTCCAACATCTGAGAGAACGTCATACTTTTGACAGTTATGATAACATCAACATACTTTTAGTAAAAGTATATTGTGAGATATCATCTGTTCTCTAGGCCATACTTCATATAGACCAATAACACAATTTTTTCCATCTCTTCAATGGTCCCAGCTCTACCCAGGCCTCCATGTTAGAAGTCATTGCTAGAGATTAGAGATGCTAACAGGCTGGCAATGGAGTGGATGAAATAAATAGCTATCAGTATTTAGTCCAGGACTCGCAAACGTCATCTCTGGAAGTATGTAGAGTAGCGTGTGATAAGTCACTGGGCTCCTGATCAAATGCAACTGTCCAAGAATTCATAAGGAAGCAGGTGAGGATCTGAAGGTAATGAGATAAAAAGAGAGCAAGTAAAGGATCTTAAGACGTAGAGATTGAATATACTTTGATGAAATTATCGTTAATTGTGCTATCAGAAAACACACAAAGAAGTCATTTTTATTTCCATCTATATGAGGAATTGAAAAGGTTCCAAGTGTCTTAAGTCTGTAGACAAGTTTGTGTAAAAGGATGTTAAAAATAGAACCCTTACAATAGCCAGAATCTGGAAAAAACCTGAGTGCCCAAGAACAGATGACTGGTTAAAGAAACTTTGGTACATCTACACAATGGAGTACTATGTAGCTGTTAGAAAAGATAAAGTCATGAAATTTACATACAAGTGGTATTACATGGAAAGTATCATGCTAAGCGAAATGAGTCAGAAAGAGAGGGATAGACATAGAAAGATTGCATTCA